AAACAACATGTGATGAACTGACCACAACTCCCATTCCCCATCCTCTTGCACTGCTCGGGAGGGGAGGTAGAGATATCAGGAGTGAAGTTAAGCCCAGGAAGAAGGGAGGGGTGAGGGAAGGTGTTTTTAGGGTTTGCTTTTATTTCTCATTATCCTACTCTGATTTGACTGGTGATAAATTAATTTTTCCTCAAACCAAGTCTGCTTTGCCTGTGACGCTAATTGGTGAGTGAACTCTCCCCGTCCTTATCTTGGCACATGAGCTTTTCTTCCCTGTCCATGTCAGGAGGGGAGTGATAGAGTGGCTTTGGTGGGCACATGTCATCCAGCCAAGGTCAACCCACTACACACTTTTAACTTGTTTTGAATTTCCTCAGGTTAAATTTGGACCATTTATCAAATTTATTTTGATTTCTGATCATGGCTTCCAAAGTGTTTATTCTTTCCCTCAACTTGTTCCCCTCAACTTGGTGTTATTTGCTATTTATAAATTTATTTGCTATTACATCACTCAATTTGTTACTGAAAAATTTGAACAGAACTGAATATATGGTGGGGTATCCTTTGAGGTTCTGCTCAAAAAAAAATCCACATTATAGTGGTCTTAATTTTTCCGAATAGCTGTGCACTCACCTTATAGGTATGCTATGTGAAAACAGTGTCTAAAGACTTACTAAAATTAAACTGTTTCATAGCTACTATTCCCTTTGTTCACTGAATCAGTTACTCTGTGAAAAGAAATTGGACTAGTTTTACATGGTATGTTATTGACAAAAAAAATGTGTGGCTGTTTCTTGTCTTCTTATCCTCCAGGGCTTGTAAATTGATTCATTTTAGGGTGATGGTATGAGTGCAAAATTGCAGATCAACATGAAATTAAAATAAAAATAAACCGACCGGACTTTTAATTTTCCAGAATGAATGAAGTACAGGAAGATGAACATAAAAGATGAAAATTGTATTTGATTTTCAAAGTTCCTTCATTTCAAAATTCAGGATGGGGACCATAACACTGAAGAATGAAATTTCAAGCATTGTTTTTGAGATGAAACTTACTAATTTGGTTAAATCAAATATTTTTCTATGTATACACATAAGAGATTAAGAACTCCATGGAGCTGCATGCATCTAACAGTTTTCTTGCAAAATCCAGCCTCCAATGCCATAGTTCGTGGGGAGAATGTGGTAATTTCAAAGGCTGGAATATGACCACTTCATTTTAGAAATCACCTTCAGAAATTCTTGAAGTTCATCTATAAAATGTATATGGTGTAAGCTTAAAACCCCACCAAATCCTACAGTTCTCATTTTATGTTCACTTTGATGTATGATATCAGAATAAAAATCCACTCTGAAGAATATTTTTAGAGAAAAAGTTAAATAATTTTTTGGTCTCTGCATTCTTATTTCTAAAACCATTTTTTTTCCTAGTGCTAAAAACATTTGGTTTTCTCCCTAGATTATTATATTTTAAATTATTTTTCCACATTAATCATTTTAATTATTCCAAGTGATGTCAGTCAAAGCCAACAAAAGCAGTAATTTCTTGTTGAAAATTTTAACTTGTATATTATATTAATTTTCAGTTGAAACCTATTGCTCGCTGAATTGAATAGCATGTACTTTGACTCATTCAGAATAAGAGTAACTAAAGGTGGTCCCAGCTGATGGGGATGAAAGTGTGCTGTACTACTGATACTTGGATTAGCAACTCAAGTTGATATTCTCAGGTAAACATGAGATACACATTTCATGTACACAAACACTTTTTTAAGATGAGACTACAAATACTGGAGGAGAAGAGAGGGAAAGAACTGACAAAAAAGACTGATGAATAAAAGCATCACGTTACCACATTAATATCCTCATTAAGATCACTTTGCCTGCATAGTAAGATGTAATTCTGCAGATGAACATTCCTTGTGTAGGCAAGGCCTTAATTAACAGACTGAACTAAAAAATCTTGTTTTGAAAAGATGCTCAGAGAGAGGATGAGGATGAACATACAATTTGCATATTTTTATCTTAAGTTACCACTCTTCTGCTTGTCCAAATACAAAGTAATATAAAGCAGTAGAGCCTATGTCCATGAGGTGGGATTTCATACTGTTTAACTGGTCTACTGCTCCTGCATGCTGAGCTCCACTGGCTTACTGAATAAAGCAAACAAGACTTCTGTCACTAGACAAAGCCCTTTATTTTAGGAAAAAGCTTGATGCAGATTGGTAGTAGTTAAATTTTTCTGATATGAAGTATCCATTTTAATCTTCCACTCCAAATGTCTTATCAAAGCCTGCTTCGGATGTAAAGTCTGCAGGAAACCAGCAAAACATTGACAGTGGAATAATATGGTCATTATTAATACTTCTTCGTTAAACATCTCTAAAACCATTCTGAAATAGGAGTTTTCCATGGAGATGGCTTGTGTTACTGCTGTCACTTTTGTTCTGCCTGCCTTTTATTGTAGAATGCTCACATGCTGTACCTTACTTTACTATAGAAATAATTTCTGTGAAAGAGATCTTCTGTGTTACTGGAATGTTAATAACGCTAGCATTTTTTTTGCTTAGATGTAGTTTTATAATTATTACATTTGCAGAAGGGAGACAAACTCATGGTCTCATGATCATAGATGTTCATTTTCCACAAAAAATGAAGCTGTGAGATGAATGACACGGGCATTTTCTAGGCTATATCTATTCACAGAGGAGTCTTGTTTCAGAACTAATTGACCATTGTAACACATGCCTTTTTCATTTTTGTTTTGCAGGAACATTTTGTCAGGTGTAGTTGATAAGGAATGTGTTGATACATTTCAATAGAAGTTACACTGCTCTGTCAGCCTGAATCTGAGAGACAGAACTAGGTGTATGCTGTTTTTCTAATAGGAAGTCTCCTGTTTTCTATAAATAGACATGTTTCAGTTCTGATTGTTCCGTACTGAAATAACTGGCTAGATGTCTAATTACTCTAAACAGAAAACACAGATAATGGCAGGCATTCAACCCCTCCTGAAAAATTAAAAATTGTTCCTAGCAGTTAACTGTTCTACATCCTGGTCACTGGCTCAGAAACATGCCAGGTCTGAGGATCCTTTTTTCCTTTTTTTCTCTTCTCTTTCATACACTCATATCAATCACTCTGCTGTGTCCTAAAGGCAAATGATACACAGTGCAGCGTGTCCTTTGGAGTCAGGGATCAAATTCATCCCTGGCCAGGATGTGTAATAATAAACAAGGGAAGGAAATTAACTGCTGCTGAGAAATGGTGTTCCCTCTAGCTCCTTTTCAATTTGCACACAGCTAGGCATTGTGCTTTATATGTAATTATAATGATTTATTCAGAGGCGTTTACTAGTCAAAGGCATAACATCTTGCTTATCTGATAATCACAAAGAAGGTGAGGTCATCTGGTAGGTTGTTAACACTGTCAATCTTTTGCACTAAAGTGAAGTATTTGCTTGTATGTTTCTTTAATGTTTCATTCATTTGCTATCTGTGCCATTTTTATCTGTCTCCAGTTTTTTGTTTCCTTCTTTCACAAAGGAGCCCACAGTGAATCTTGAGTAAATTTCATATGCTTTAATTATTTTTATACCGTAAACTGTTTTTTGTGATATGAAGTTGAAGAATTCTTTACATTAATGGATGCAGTGTACCTGAAAATTCATCTCTTCACCTTTTTCACACTGCTTATAAACATAAAAAGGTGATAGTCCTGTACAACCAGTTCATTATGGTACTTAATGTAAATTGCGTGTTAAATCTCCTTAAGTGAAATCTTCACCCTACTTGGCATTTGTGAATGTGCAGTGGAAAAAGTTCCATTTTGGAGAAGGAAATCAGCCAAAATAAATATCTCTGAGCCATCAGTGGGACCAAATTTAGAGGATAATCTAATAAAATTAGGAAGGTATCACAGATGGATAACACAAAATGGAATAAAATGCATGTAATCTTCCCAACCTTGGGAAAAAGAACCAATCAACCAATCACTGAAATAGCTGTCTGGCAGAGAGCTTTGACCTAAGGTTATACCCTGCCTTGGATGCTGTACAGTTTCTTTGGCTGTCCTTTCTGTTTGGAAGCTTTTTATTTCTAATTGTCATCCTGTCACTGAAATGGTTTACCCTTTATTGAACATATTCATGGTGTCCTCAACAGATGTAGTGATTCTGTTAATCTTTTGAGAGATGCCACTGTCTCTAACTAGTCCAGATGATGAAGGCTGTATACAGAAGAAAACAAATAACCACTTGAGGGAGCTGACCAAGCTCATTGGAAGCTACATTGGCATATCTACGTCACACCACATGCTGCAATATGGGCAAACTCCAAGACCTATTTGTATCTTCTAATCCACAGTGGTTTTTAATTGATGCAGTTTAGTTTTGTCTCTTCTTCAGGCAGACATCTCTGACTCTGGTGTTGCTTGTTTCCTTATAATAGAATCCCATGGTGTCAGAGCTCAACTTCACTCCAGAAAGGAACCATCAGAGCTAGCTCAGAAGCTAGCTACTTGCTCAGTGCAACTTAATTCTCACTTCTACACCAGTTCTAGATGTTGGCAATCTGGTGTCTAATATTTAGGAAGCCACTATATCAAAATTCAGGCTAGAAATTCCTGCTGTGTGCAATAGCATGGATGTGTGTTATAAGTGTGCCTGTTGACCAGTTCAGGAAAAAAGAAGACAAATTAAAGCAGCCCATGTTAATGAACTTTTTCAATTCTGAATGGTAAACAGGTCAAACATCAGGGGACTAGACATCAGCAGGCAGGTATAACAGGAGGTGCCAACGGTGAAATACATAATTATAGTTCCAAAGTTTGAACTGTGATAGTGAATGTGTATTTTTTTCCTTCTGACACCTGTAGCTGTTCATGTACTTAGCATTCCAACAGTTTACTATTCCTCAGGATTTGACTCTAAGTATTTTTTTGTTCAAATAGGAATTACATGATATTTTTTTTCTCAATATGCTTCTTTTCTTCCCTGATAGGTGGTATAAGCCCTTGGGATCTTTTGATCTGCTTATCTTCCAGAAAAAATGATGGTACTGGCTGCATTCAAATGGAAAACTTTCATCATCTAGAGTTATTCCAGAAGGTACAAGATTATTGTGTTATCCTTTGTGGGAATAAGAGGACAGGGCTAGCCCAAATTTTCATCACTCACTCATGAAAAGAAAAGCATCTAATGCTTGTTTTACACTGCAGCAGTGTGGTTTAACAGCAATTAAAATGTTTTTTCAAGCTTCCTATCTACTGAGGAGTATTTGTCAGATACCAACATTTCCTTCGTCTTTATATAACATACAGTGATCAAAAGCAATTTCTCATTTGGACACAGTATGTTATTTTGGATGTAAGTATTTCTGTGTAAATACTGAAAATTGGTTCAACTGAGTGTCAATTTTTCCTTTTCTCTTCTTCAGCTTGAACATTTGAGTTCTTGGCCACCCTCAGCCAGCATGTCAAGCAGCAAAAGCATCTACAGAAGTCAAGGGAAATTTAAGTAATTTACCCCATTGGAAAAGAGAACTTAGAAATCAGGAGAAACAGCAAGCAAATGCATGCAGTATTTCAAAATAATATCATAGGCAGAAGATAAAGCTGGACTAATTTAGGTGTTGCAGGCTTTGCATCTAATGTCCCTATTGAGTTTAATCTAATTTGAGCATGTGTCCAAACAGTGACAGTGCTCCTACAATTGATAATATGCAAGCTGGATCACTGTCCTCCTCCAGGGCCTTTGTGAGAGTTCCTTGCTCTGGCACTGCAATCTGATTACTCACGGTCCAAAACATCAGTGGTGCTGATATTTCTTGGTATTTTCAGGATTTTCTTTTTTTTTTTTTTCATTTGAGTGTGTGGTGGACACAGTTTAGGTTACTTAGATAGGTAAAAAATACGTAAGTCACTTAAACTGAGGTCTTTCTTTGAAAAAATGTGACCAAAGTATGGATACAGTTTGGCTTGTATTTCAAGTAAAATGGCACAGATAATAATGGTAAGACACAAAAGTATAGACTCTGACTTGAGGAACTGGGAAGAAGAGAGCTGCTTTTGAAAGGTACTTAGTTCAGGTAGAAACATGTTCATGAGGATACAAAAGACAACTACATGTCCACAGAAGGCAGAGCTAGGAGCATGTCCACTGGGGTTCCCTGGGACAGGGATGCCTTATCTAGGTATATAAAAAATTAAATTTTTATATCAGTTCTAGTGTGCTAGAAATATGCATGCTTTAGATTCAGGTCTCAGATCAAAAACCCTGGGCTTCTGCAAACTGCTTCTTGCTCATTCTACCCATATTTTTGTATCTGAGCCTCTAATACTGTGCAATATAATAATTCTTACAGCACTCTGCAATGTCTAGAAGTTTCACACATGAATAACTGAGACACAAGGTGATCAAAGGAATTGTCCAAGTTCTCTCAGGAAGTCTGCAGCACATCAGGGACTTAAACCAGATGGCCCATATCTCCAGATAACATTAAATATTGGACAAACATCACTCGCTGCTGGCATGTCCATACCATGGGTGCAACACAGTTCTTTGTTACAGAACCTGGGTATGATTTAGCTGCTTTAGGCTATTTCGACACAGGGAGAGACAGTGATTGATAACTAGCAGAGGACAGAGAAACTGAAGAAACTGAAAAGGGGGCAGGGAAGGGTGAAAGCTCAGCAGTCAGGAGGAGACTGGTGAGTCTAAAATTTTGGTTTGTGATGGCCAATGGAGGAAGAGCCCACACTTTAACTTCATTATGCCATGTTGCAGATATGGCAAACTTGTCATTCCCTTTTGACAGTGACAGGAGTTTAGCACATGAGGTGTCTCTGATAAATTAAACACAAACCCATTGAAGGCTCCAGGAGAAAGAACACTTCTCTGAATGAAATCATTAAAGCTTCTCTTTTTACATACAGGTTAACCTACTTCCAGAAATCCAGCATTTCCTTTGCAGAAAAGAGGGATTATGCCAGATAACAAAAGCCTTTTCAGGTAACCTAATTTCTTCAGATCTGCATATGTGATGATGGTCTTTTAATACTTGTCACAGGACGTCTCTGAAATGAGACTGTCAGACTTACAATTCCTTTTAATTTTTAGTCATGAATGCATAGAGGGGAAAAAATTAAACAAGAATGAGAATCCATTTCAGATACCACTTAAACACAGATTATAGTTATGCACTATCTTTTCAGGTAAAGATATTGCATTGTTTAGCTATTGCATACTGCAGAAATAATTTAGCTCTAAGTGTCTCATTTTTGGACTGGTTTGTATTAATAAAGTGTGTTGGTGTTTACACTTCCAAGCCCTGGTTTGGTGTAATATGTTTGTTCAGCTTTACAAAAATGTTGTGGCATGGAGAAGGAGCAGGAGTCAGAATTTGGTTCCCATCCAGACATAGTTTACTGATAAAAAGCCTTTGTGTATTAAGATCATCAACCAGAAAAGTTTAAAGGTTATGGGCGAGTTGCCAGAGAATTCTAATTTACTATGGGTGAAATTCAGCTTTGAATAGAAACTGCAAAAAACTGTTGTGCACCATATTAGGTTTATTTAAACTACAGACACATTATGATCTCAGTTACACTACTAAATATCCAGCATCAATGCTATTTTGCATTTATGATCTATCTTCACGGCATAACTTTGTTTATAAGAAATGTTGTCCTTTTTTTTTTTTTTTTTGTAATTCAGTAACAACCAACTCCACATTTATTCCATTATTATTTGGCCTTGTTTGCAGACACATATACAAGATTGGTCAGTCTGATTTTTTCTTTTTTGTTTTTTTCATTTTTCTTTTATTCTCTTCCTTTTAGTCCTTTATATATATGCTATATTTAGCACACAAGGAAAGGATTCACAGAATCACAGAATTGTCTGTGTTGGAAAAGACCTTGAAGATCATCCAGTCCATCCATTCCTTACATCTCATTTAACTGTTTAGAAGTTAGGTATCTTCTGCAGCAGTATTCCAGTCTTCCCCTTAAGTCAGTGGAGAGAGTGGGGCAACTACAAATACTACTTAATTTTATCCTAAACTATGTGTTTAAAACAGGTGTCTGAAATTACCCTCTGCAGGTACTTACTATCCAATTATCTCTCAAGATTGACTGTAAATGAAGCCTAGACAAGTAGCTTAGATTAAATACCTGACATTTAGTTGACTGACTAATGTGGAGGTTATGTGGTTCCTAACCTAAGCATACCATATTTTCCCTTTTAATTTTTGTACTGCTTTGTTTAAAGGTTGATCAATACTTAAAACCTCTGTGAAGTGTTTCCCTTAAAAAACTGTATGTTGAGGGTCAGTTTAAATTCCATTTTCCTGGTGAAATATATTGCTAAAACTGATCATAAGGAACATGCGGTATAATGAACATCTATCTAGGTCCCTTGACAGTCCTTTATTGTGAAGTCATGTTACATCAGGTAAGTGATATATTCTGTTTTGGCTGAGTTTTAAGTGTCTTCAGTGATGCCTAGTGCCTTGATTCTCTTGCACTGGAAAGTGAATTAGAAAGTATTCTGAAAAAGTACCAGTTTCAGTAGAAAATTGCGTAGATTTCAAAAAACTTCAAGGATTTCAGGAACTGGTAGGTCCTACTCATGTTGCAACAGACTGCTTTTAAAAAACATTGGTTTTCCCTGCTACTTGGAGAAAGGCCAATTGCAGTGGTTTTATTATTTTGCTACTGGAAAACCACAAACACAAGAGGCACTCACCACACATAGAGCTTTCCCCTTAAAATATGAACATTTTCACTGGTGTCCATAAACTGTGGTACAAGCCATTTTTTTGCATGTGGCCTGTTAAGATCTTCAGTGTTTTCTCCTGTATTGAATTTGTGTGGCAATGTTTTGGTACCAGGGGGATACAGGGGTGGCTTCTGTGAGAAGCTGCTAGAACCCTCCCCCATGTCCAACAGAGCCAATCCCAGCCAGCTCCAAGACAGACCCACTGCTGGCCAAGGCTCAACCCATCAGCGATGGTGGTAGCGCCTCTGGAATAACGTATTTAAGGGGAAAAAGAAGCTGCTTAACAGCAACTGCAGCCACAGAGAGGAGTGACAATATGTGAGAGAAACAGCTCTGTAGACACCAAGGTCAGTGAAGAAGGAGGGGGAGGAGGTGCTCCAGGCTCTGGAGCAGAGATTCCCCTGCAGCCTGTGGACAACCATGCTAGAGAAGGTGGATACCCAAAGGATGCTCTGACCCCATGTGGGAAGCCCAGGCTGGAGCAGGCTCTTGGCAGGACCTGTGGCCCCGTGGAGAGAGGAGTCACGCTGGAGCAGGTTTGCTGGCAGGACTTGTGCCAGTCCCTGTGGGGGACCCATGCTGGGGCAGTCTGTGCCTGAAAGACGCTGGAGCAGTTTGTGAAGAACTGCTGCCCATGGGAAGGACTCACGTTGGAGAAGTTCATGGAAGACTGTCTCCCGTGGGAGGGACCCCACGCTGGAGCAGGGAAAGAGTGTGAGGAGTCCTGTGCTGCTGGTGGGGAGCAGGTAGAGAATTCAGGAGTAAAGTTAAGCCCAGGAAGAAGGGAGGGGTGGGGGAAGGTGTTTTTAGGATTTGGTTTTATTTATCATTATCCTACTCTGATTTGACTGGAAATAAATTAAATTCGTTTTCCCCATGTGAAGTTTGCCCATGACAGTAATTTGTGAATGATCTCTTCCTGTCCTTATCTTGACACACAAAATTTTTGTTATATTTTCCATCCTCTGTCCATCTGAGGAGGGGAGTGATAGAGTGGCTTTGGTGGACACCTGCCATCCAGGCAGGATCAACTCACCACACGTCCTCTTTAGGGAAGGGCCATTTATAAACATCTTATTCCATGATGCCAAAATCCCATTGAAATCAAGGTAGTATGTGTGCTGGTCAGTAGGGTTCTGAGTCCTACCCACTCAGTAACAAAGGATTATTCTAGCAATTTTCTGAAGGACTGTCAGATAGAAAAAGGCCCACTCTCACCTGTCAGTTACCAGAAAAAAAAATCAATTAACTGCAATGTTTTAAAGTTAAAAAAAAAATCCATATCTCAAATCTAGGTGTCTCCACATCAACATGTGGCCTAGGGGCTGAGGTAGTTGTTTCAACACAAAGGTCTCATGACGCTTGAGATACCATGGAGAGTATAGGATACCCAGTAGGATGGGCAGATTTGGCACACAACCTATGCCTTTTTGGTCCAGCAGCTGGAGGCTCAGAAGCCAGATGTCATAGATGGCAATAGATGTCTATGTGTAGATACCTGAATTTAATTAACACTTGGTATCTAAGCTTCCAAAATGAACAGAAGTACAGTTTAGAGTGAGCAAGCCCAAAAGAACATTTACTTTCAGCAGAATTTAGGGTTAGATGAATCGCCCCACACTAACTGTATAGACTATGCTGATGTCCACTGACAGGAATCGGAACTTAGGCTGTGGCACACAGGGGGTCATCTTAGTATAGATCAGATCTCAGAGTGTCTCAACCCAGAAATGAATCCCATTTAGTGATGTCTAATTTACTATGAGTGAAATTCACCCATAGAAGATGAAATTAGAATCAGAAGGTTAAATAATTTGATTTCAGGTTAAGAGGACAAAAAGGCATAATATAAACCAAACTTTTAGAGCCCAGATTTCAGATACTCTCCTCCCCTTCCATTCACCTGATAAAGCTAGCTCTTTTCACTTCTTTATCTTGCTTGCATCTTCTGACAGAGCTTTCTTTTCAACAACAGCAAAGTTGTCAATTATTAGGATTTGTTTTGATCCTCAAAATTGTTTGGGGAAAGAAGAGTTTTCATCAGTATTTCCTCCACAGAAGAGTTTGTTCCCTTTCAAATCAGTCACGTACTTTCATTCTTGTGTGTTTGAATCAACAGGGTTTCTCTGCAATTTATGTTGAAGAGGATCAGTTGGTTTGTTATTACTGTGTTTGTCATTTAGTCAGTCCCCCAAGGAGCCAAGCAATTTCCTGTAAAAGTGAAAACACAAAGTTGCTGCTTTAAGAATTATGTGATGTAATTAAAGGCTCACTAAGTCATAGAAAGAAATATCAGGCAGCAAAGCTGAAAGGATGGGATTACTGGATTTAGTGTGGGTATGACAGTGTTGATATTGATAAGCAGTGGGTACAATGGTAAAGGTTATTTAAAAAAAATGTTATTCTATTTGTTACTGTGCAATTTCTAAGCTGATGGGTTTTGTATTTAAGAGAGCATGCCCCTTATTCCCTGTATCAGTATAGGAAAGAAAATGAGTTGTAGAAAGTATCAGATGAGTACTTGTTTCTTTGCTTTGTCTCTTCAATGGAAAATCTTTTTGTCAGTCTGAAAATTCAGATAGATTCTATTGGGGGGGG